TGGCCAGACTTCCTCTCTCATACTTCAGACATTTGATGAGGAGGGACCAGTCCCCTGGAGAAGGATGTCATGCTTGGTAAACTGGAGGGTCAGTGAAACAGAGGGAGACCCCCAATGCCATGGACTGACACGCTGGCAGCGACAAGGGGATCAAATGTAACAGGCATTGTGAGGCTGGTTCCAGGCCGGGCAGGGTTTTGTTCTCTGTGCACACAGGGTCGCTATGAGTTTGAACTGACTCGGGGGCGCCTAACAATAAATAATAGAACAGGCAGAGGAGAACTGCCTTATAGGGTTTCCAAGTTCATACATGTATACAGAAGCAGTCTACCTCGTTTTTCCCTCAGGCAGTGCCTGGGGGCTTTGCTAACCTTTTGGTTAACACCACTAGGACCCCTTAACCATAACTCAGGGAACCTTATTTGTGAACTCAGGCCTAGCTCAGAACAACAGAATCCAATTCCAGCTTCCACAAACTTTTTGTAGGCCCCTCATATCGGATGATTCCACTCTAGTATGACGCCACACCACCACCTTCAATGTAATGACATCTGTGAAGATGCTGTTTCCACACACGGTCATGTTCACAGGTATTAGGAGTTAGGATGTATGCCTTTTGGGGGTCACGATTTGATCGATAACAGTGCTCAATAAAGTATTTCTGGATTAAAGACAAGGTGGAAAGGGCACTGCAGGAATCACCCACAGATAGTTTCCTTTCACGGGCCAATTCGGGCCCACCACATGTTTTTGTAAATAAAGTTTTATTGGCACACAGCCATTCCTATTCATTTCCATATTGTGTCTGGCTGCTACTTGTAGGATAGAGTTGAGCAGTTACGACAGAGACCATCTGTCCTGCAATGCTGAAAATATGTACACGCTGCCCCTTTACAGATAAAGTTTGCCAAACCCTTGGCTAGTGTGTGCCAGGCCCTGTTCCAAGCCCTTTGTGTTCACTAGGTTAGCCTTCCCAGCAGCCTTAGCAGGTTGGGGATGTGCGAATTTAGCGTTCTTAGCAAACACACCCAGGATCACACAGAGTTGGGCTAAGATGTGAACCCTGGGCCTTGAAGCGCCTCAATCTCTTTGCTGTTTTGTTTACATTTGCTAATCGGAGTCCTGGAGTAGCACAGGACTGTTAACCATAAGGTCAGGTTCAAACCCACCAGCCACTCCTTGGAAAGGGTTGCCATGAGTTGGAACAGATTCAATGGCATGTAACAACGAAAACAATCTCATTTTATGAAAACGTTACTATGAATGTATGTGCATTGTAACAAGAGGTAAATGAGAAGGTTTGGAACTGTAAGATAAGCACTGGACTGCTAAACACCAGGTCAGTAGTTCAAACCCACAAGCCACTCCATGGAAACCCTACAATAGGTTGCTAAGAGTCTGAACCGACAGGACAGCCCTGAAGAGAAACAACCACATAACGGAAATGGTAGGCAACATGCCGGCCTCACCTTCCTGCCATCTCTGTCTCCAAAGCTCATCCGAAACGATTTTCCTTCAAACACACATCTATTTTCCTGGTTATTGTCACACAATACAAACACTGCCACTTTAACCACAGAATTCAGTGACATTAATTCCATTCACCATGTTGTGTAACCGTCCCCACTCTTTCCAAAATGTTTTCACCATCCCAGATACTCAGCTTCCATTAAGCAATAAGTCCCCATTTATCACCAGCCCCTAGTGGCCTCTAAACTACTATCTATCTTTATTCATTTGACAGTTCTAAATGTTTCCTAAAAGTGGAAGCATATGGCATTTGTTCTTGGGGCCACACCAATGTATTGGACATTCTCATCAGGGCCATGTGGAGATCATTGAACGATTGCATTAATATCACATGCAAGGAAAATTTTGTTGAAGATCATTCCAAAGCAATTGCAACAGTACATTAACAGGGAACTGCTAGAAATTCAAGTCGGATTCAGAAGAGAATGCAGAATGAGAGATATAATTTCTGATGTGAGATCGATCTTGGCTGAAAGCAGAGACCACCAGAAAGATGTTTACCTGTGCTTTACTGACTATGAGAAGGTTTTCGACTGTATGGATCATGACAAACTATGGCTAACATTGTGGAGAATGAGTGTTCCAGAACACTCATGAGGAACCTGTACATAGACCAAGAGACAGTCATTCAAACAGGACTAGGGAA